TCTCTCTCTCTCTCTCTCTCTCTCTCTCTCTCTCTCTCTCTCTCTCTCTCTCTCTCAGTGCTATAGAACCCAGGCTGGCCTGAACTTGCAGCAATCCTCCTGCTTCAGCCTGCACAGTGCTGGAACTGCAGGCATGTACCACCACATCTGGCTCCTTTCTCTGGTCTTCCCTTCACAGACGAAGAAATAGACACAGAAAGGACTGGTGACCAGCCTCAAGGCTAAAAAGTGGTGACAGAAAGCTTTAAATCCAGGCTGCAGGCTTTCTGAGGCTGCATTTGACCTGAACCCACAACCAGACTCAGCCCATCGCTCCCCAAACCCCTGACCTCCCCTCATTCCCTCCCCATTAGTGGCTGTGCTCAACAGCAGCCCCAATGTACCTGTCCTGGCTCTCTGACATAGCTCCTTCTCATCCAGAGGCTCATACCCAGCCCCTGGTCTCTGGCCCAGCACCCTGCCAGTTCACCCCAGACACCTCCTGGTGCCCACCCAACCCACCCCTGACCACCCTGCACTCGTGCCCAGTGTCCTCACCTGAGCCACCTCTGTGGGTCCAGGAGCCGTGGTCCCCAGTGGCAGAGTGCTCCTCTCAGGGACATCGGGCTCCTGAGTGGTGACTGGCCAAGGAAGGGCTCGTGGCCGAGAGGTAGCTGTGTTGACCAGCCTAGGTGTTGGGGCCTCTGTGTCCAAGGAAGCCACGGTAGTGGGTGGCGAGGGTACTGCTGGGGTGGTGGCCCGGGCTGTGGCAGCCGTGGTCAGTGGAAGAGGCAGCAGCCCCTGTAGGCCGGTGGTCCTTACAACAGCAGTAGTGGCTGTGGCAGGGGGTGCCACAGGGGTGCTGGGGACTGTGGTGGCTGCTGTGGCAGGTGCTGTTGCCACAGTAGGGGTCCCTGTAGTGGTGGTTGTGGTGGTGGAGATGGTGGTGGCTCTCTGACTGGGCTCTTCCAGGACCTCTGTTACCTCTGTTACCAGTGGGGGACTGGTGACTGGTTCGGGGCTGGGGTGCTCAGAAGGAGGCTCCTCAAATGGGGTGCCCACAGGCTGGATATCCGACGTGGGCAACACGGCAGGCACGGTGGGAGCAGCTAGGGCCATGTCAGGGACGAATCGCATGGCTGTCTCAAGACCCGACTCCTGCTCAAAGTCTGGGAGGGTGGGAAGATGGAGAGAGCTGGGGAGTAGGTGCTTTTCAGCCAGACCTGCAAGCAGGCATTGACTTCCCAACAGGGCACCACACTTCTCTGCCCAATTTTCACAGAAAGATAGGGCAAGGAGGAGAGTTGGTCAGGCAAGCTAGCTATTCCCCAATGTGGTGTCTCCTTCAGGGGGCCACTGCTTCCAGGCAGCCTGCCCTGATTCTGCCAGCCCACCCTATCTGGCGCATCTACCAGGTTGAGTTCTAGCAGCATCGACTAAAGCCTCTGGCTAGAAATCCCACTTGGGGTTGCTGGGAGATGAAGCTTGGCCTCTTGGGAGGGGCAAGACACAAGGGCATGCTTAGCATGAACTCAAGGCAGTAGGGACCCTGAGCCTCTCACCTCCAGGACATAGGCAGAGACCAGAGAGGAAGAACTTCCTATAGGCCACTGCTCAGGCCACACAGATGACTTAGGGTAGATTAAAGAAGGAACATGGAGGGGAAGACGTAAGAGAACCAGGAGGGTGGAGAGAGGCCAAGGACAGCCAGAGCCACTTGAGGCTAAGCAGGCAGAGGGGCTGGGAGCAGAGACGCAACACTTTAAGGAAGGACTTCTATCCAGGTTGGGAGGAAGAGGCTTAAAGCATCAGCTGGAAGGAGTAGAGGAAGAGCTGGGGCAGCCAGCTCGGAAGCATAAGCCTAGGACTGTACTATCACACACTCGTCCCCTCGTGGGCCCATCTCAGAACCCTCTCTCAGTTACATCTCCAGGACCAAATTGACTTCCTGTACCCCCAAGGCTCCTGAGAGGAAGGGGAAGCCATCAAAAGGTAGGAATATAGGAGCTGCAAGAGGCCAGAGGTCATGCAACTGTCCAACCACAGGCGAGGTGCCTAACCTCACCCTTCCCTGCTTGACCCACAGCCTCTGGCCTCTCCCAAGACAGGTGCAACCCAGCACCAGGTCCCTGAAACCCTTCTGCAGTCCTGCCTTCACCCTGCCCTTGGCCAAAGGGGTCACCAGATCTAGGGTGGACCAATCAAATCATTCCTACCAAGGACTTCCCATGGCCCCTGAGAGGTGGCAGCTGACTCCTCCCACATGGTTGGTGCAGAACTAGAAACACTTAGGTACTGAGTGCCTATGTTTCCCTAACAGGCCATGGGGCAGGAGCCATAGAGCTGGAGACAGATCCAGGCTGAACACAGAGACATGGAGACAAGAGTTCTGGGCTCTGGGTTCTTCCCTAGCCTATCCCCTCTTGGGAGGAGGCTCTGCCCTCCTCCTTCTCCAGGTCCTGACCTCTGTTCAGGACTCACCCAAGTGGCCTGAGAGGGCTCCCAAGATGGTAGTAGTGCAGACAGGCAGTGAGACCTGGGGAATACTTACAGCCCGAGCCTGACCCCGAGTAGAGGTCATCTAGTTCATCGTCTGGGAAGGAGTCGTCATCCCCAGAGCCCTCAAGGTCCACAGGCCTCTCGAAGTTCTCATTGCGCCAGCGCTGAGTCTAAGAAAGAGAGAGACCCACAGGGCTAGGCACCCAAGGCAGGAACCCGAACAGGCACAGATGACGTGTTCAGCAGAACAGCAGACGTGTTTGTGGCAGAGTGACACCCATGTATGCTACAGAGAGCTGGATGTTGGCAGATGGCTGCTTGTCACAAACTCAAGGCTATGGTAACAGTCCCCTCTCCGACCTGCCAGCTACTACCGGCAACCTCTGGCTGCCCCCTTCAGCAACCAGAACCCCTACATGGGTTCAAATCATGCGATGCTGAATTAGAATCCCAGACCAACCGCTTGCTAATAGGCAAATTGTTTAATCCCTTTGCACTTCAGTATAGGCATTTTGGAAGCAAAATGCAGTGGCCTTACAAAGCACAGTGCCATGGTCCTGCCCCCAGAGCTTTCAGGGGAAAGGAGGTGCGCCCCCAGGGCTAGGGTTTGAATCATACGGCATCTGCATCTTACAAATGAAATCAAGACAGAAAGGCACCCTAGAAAAGGCACCCAATAATGAAAGGCCCTGAGGTTAGTCAATGCAGCTGGCACCCTTGGGCTAATCCTGCTCACTCTACAGCTTCACCCAGCACCCCATCCCCATCTCTTTCAATCACTCTGGTCCCTCTGCCTATAATTCCCTTCCAATTTCCTGCCAACTCACACTACCCAGAGTCACTTTGTTTGAAAAGTCACCCTACTGCAAGCATTCCTTACTCCCAAATCACACCTGACGCTCCTCATGAGCAAGGTCTGCCGTGCCCATCTCCCATAAATAAGAAGCTCTCTGAGGCAGGACTAGCCCATCTAGCAAGGTGCCTGGCACTGAGCAGGCTTTGGGAGATCTGTAAGGATGGAGTTGGAGTTAGGAGACACATATAATTCATGGGTAGCACAGGGACAGGGTGGCTGGAAGTGAGGCTGAGAAGTCAGCGGGCTGATCACAGTGTCCAGCCAGTGACTTACTCTTATAAATCAATCACTTTGTGGACTGATGGCCCATCAGAATATCATCAAAGCTGATCCCAGGGGTTCAGTGGGTTTCAGGCACTACACTGTGGCTGACAGTGGGGAGCCATGGAAGGTGTGTGCATGGGAGAGGAACCAGACTGGCACTGCGTTTTGCCCTCAGCCTGCCACATTCCTGCCACTCACAGGCCCTTCTGCAGTTCATGCAGAGCCAGAAAGGGGATTTCAGTCCTGGCTTCCTGCCCACAGCCACCAGTGCCTGCTCCAAAGCCCCAGCTAGCCCAGTCAGGGCAGGGAGCCAGGACATACCCCTCACAAACACACACACACACACACACACACACACACGTCTGGAAGTAATGAATTAATCAGTATTTACTTTCTACCAGTGAGTCATGGGGTGGAACAATTAGTGTAATTGCTCCCGTGACTAATTGCTGGGTCTTCCTCCTCTGTAGATATCCCAGGAGCTCAGATCAGCCATCATCCAGCTTTCGCCGGCTCCCATCTCTGCCCAGAGCATACCCCCAGACTGTGGGAGCCATGTGCCTCCATAGACTGGAGTCTCTTGGGAGCTTTTGGCTCCTGTTCCCCCAGTTGCTCAGCAGGCAACCTGACATCGCACAGCAAGGTGGGGACTGAGAAGGAACCACTGTCTTTCCCTCCTTCAATGCAGGCCAGGGAGTGCTGGGAAGAGACATTCTAAGAGGTCTGTCCTGGGACATCCCCCCCAAAACAGGAGGGAACAGGGGAGACAAATGTGTACCCCTTGAGATTCCTCAGTAGCCAATATGACACCAACACTCTGTTCAGAAAGGCCTTGCACAAACCCAGTCCCAAAGCCACAGAGACCTGCAAGTGTCACAGCCAGACGCACAAATGCACCAGCACACACACACACACACACACACACACACACACACACTCACACATTCACACACACACACACACACACAACCCTAGAGGCAGCCTTTGAAGGCAGCATGCTGGCATGCCTTTGGGGGCACAGGCATCAACAGGAGTTGGGGACTCTGTGCAGCTTTGAGCTAGGAAATGAGCTTCTAGCCGCCCATGAACCCATGAGCCTCCACTCAGGTAGCACTCACCTAAATACTATTCATCCCACCTTTGTAGCCATCGGCATGACAACGGTTACCATGACAACCATCTCCTCCCCGCTAAGGAGGAGCTGCAGCTCCCCACCGAGTTGGAGGGGGGCGGTGCAGGAAAGGGAGATGGTCGAGGATCAGAGGACAGCAAGGAGGGGGAGGGGGACCTGAATGGAGAAGGGAGGCCAAAGGGGGTGGGGCAGGAGAGAGGAGATTGGGAAAGGAGTCAGAGAATCCTCACATCTCAATCTAGCCTCACACTCATCAGATTCCTGGGGAGAAGTAACCTTAGTGACTTCCCAAAGCTGCCTCCATCAGATCTCCTTCCCCTGGAGTGAGTCACCTTGAGGTCACCCTGGAGGCTTGGGGGACACCTGGCACCTGAGGAGGGCAATACTCACAGGAACTCTAGGGATGCTGGTAGCTCAGCTCCCAGGGGACAGCAGGAGGGATGGAGGGGAGGTGGCAGCCCGAGAGGCTAAGGGGGTGGGGGAGTTCTGTAAGACTGAGAAGGAGGACCACCCCTCAGTGACCTCTGCCTTTGCCTGACTTCATGCATAATGACTACAGTTGTTCATGTCACCCTCTTAAAGAATAGAGTCCAAGTGCCCTGGACCATGCTGGCCTCTACCTGACCCTCCTTGTGGCCCTCCACAGAGGCAGACCCCAGCTTCCTGCACAGGAGTTACGCACAGGCATCTATGCCCCAGCATACACGCACAGTGACTGAAAGGAGACATGGTCCAATGTGAACATACACAAACTGCACACCATAGCACACGCATGCATACACATCCATGTGTACATACACCCCAGCACACACATGCACACATATACACATATACACACACCCTACCACCACTCCCATGTACACGCCCCTTTACACACACACTTTAGCACACATACCCATGCATACACACTCCCCAGTACATACACCCCAGCACACACATCCATATACACATGTACACATACCAGAACATACACACACATGTGCACACATATCTTAACACACATACCTCAGAACACATACATGCATACACACACATTCACACACACACCCAGCAGACACACAACCCAATGGACACACACACACACACACTATACACAGTTAAGGGCAGCATGGACAGAATCCAACACACATGCTCAGTAGAGCTTACTGGGATGCACTTGTGTATCTAGCACACCCTTACTGCACACACACCCGAAGGAACTCATGAACACAGGAGTCACCCCGTCCCCACTTACCCCCAATGCTCATTCCACACAAACCCCCTCAGGACCACACTCAAGAGCTTGTTTCCCAGGACTGATTCAACCTCCAATATGCACACACACACACACACACACACACACACACACACTCACTAGACTTCCCAGCACACTTATGTATTGTATTAGATAATACATTTGAACACACGCCTCACAGCCACCACACCCCAGCCCAGCCCACACATAAGGGGAAATACCGCCACTCCCACATGTTTCCTGTCATGGCCACATCAAGGAGGACAGCCAGTGGAAGTTCCTCCACATGACCACATTGCCATAACCCCCAGGGGTTATTACCCACAGTCCACAGACAGCAAAGTCGACCTATAATCAGGAGTCCCTCGCTCTGAGTACTCCAGGCCACTCAGCTCCAATGCTCAACCAGGGTCCAGGGTTTCTACATCTGGGCCCCATTTGCCCCATCTGACACCAGCTCCATGACACCCACCCCAACATCCAGCACCTACCTGTGCTTCCAGCCCCATGCACATCCCCCAGCTCAGTCTGAGTGACTGAATGGGTACCTACCTGACAGCACATACCCTCCCCATGGCACCCCAGGCCCCTTGTTCCTGCAGCAGGCCTCTCCACACTCACATTCACAAGAACACACCCTCCTAGGGAACATACATGATCTGGTGCGATGGTCCTCCAGCCCCTCTTGCCCCTCAGAGGTACCTCAAGCTCCTGCCTAGGGAACCAGGCCCCAGCTTAAGCAGCCATCCCCCAGCCAGCAGTCACAGGCTCCTCTCCACAGCTGCCCAGTGCCTGGGCAGAGCTCTCCTCTTTCAGGCAGCCCCATCTCCCTGGATTCCTCAACCAGGGCTGGGCTGGGTGAGGTCTCATGTCAGATATGTCAGTCCGTGGCCACTAGAGTATTCACGAGGGAGGGGTATGTTCAGGAGAGCCAAGTCACCTCCTTCCCTTAGCCCCCTCCTAGTCACCTAAGAGGCCTGAAGTCAGAATCTTCCAGAGTGAAGGGCAGTGCAGAAGCCAGTTCCCCAGTTCCTCATCTCAGACCTGTTGAGAAATAGCCAAGACCAGGCAAGCTGCAGGCAGAACCTGAGGTAAGAAAAACACTGCCATGACGATTGCTGGTTATGCTGTCTCCACATGAGGTGACTAAGGCCTCAGGCTCCTCCTGGGGGAGACAGATATAGAGGAAACTGTCAATGCCTAGAGTGGTGGGGTGGCATTGCCCAATTCACACGGAGTCAAAGACAGAGGCTGGAGGAAGAGAAAGAAAGGGCGTGGCAGGGAAGCACTCAGACGCATAAATTGGGTCAGCCGCCAGGGGGCCGGGAGCCCAGCACTCTGCCCTGCTAATCATGCTGCAAAAACTAGAACAAAATCAAGTGTAATTAGTTCTGCCCCAGCTTCCTTCCCCTAATTAGCCAGACTGTCCTGGTGACCAGAGACAATATGAGTCAGACTAGGAGCCCAGCTTTTGGTTCAAACAGTCTTGGGTTCAAGTCAAGCTCTAATTTACTTGCTGGGTAACTTTAGGCAAGTGGTATAACCTCCCTAAACCTATGTTTAGTCAACTGGGGACAATGATAATTCACACTTTGTAGAGCTATTATGAGAATCTGGTGAGACAGCACACAGAAGGGTCTGCCGCTGTTGGGTCTGGCTCATCTTTTGCTGGTATTCCCATGGT